CATGATGTCATTTTCATTGCAATCGCAAGAAACGTACGTTGTTTGCAAAAAAAAGATATCTTATTGACATGTTGCTTGGGATATGACTTTTCAAGAAAAGTTCGGCGTCCAACCTGTCGAGTATCAGTCTATCGCCCAGGCTCGTGAAAAGTAGCTTTAGTAAAAGTCCTAAAGAAGACAGTGCACAGTGGGTCAAAACATGCCAAACCCGGGCCAAAAGTCTAAATATCAATTTTGATATTTTGATTTATTTGCTTGCTTTTAAGACTTGCTTTTGTAGAGAAATGTCTGGAGACACAGAAACGCAACATCTTAGTTTTCCTACCTATCTTATATCCTCGCCTTTACAGGTTGATTCCTTGGTTAAGATGCTTCCTTCACGAATGTCATTTTCGACGAAAAATATACATTAGTGTTGCCACGGTAAAAGTAGACTGTATAAGAACTTATGCAAGAATGGTTTGATGGAGGAGACTTCTACAGGTAAGCATTCTTAAATAATACCAACATTTAATTTAGATTTCAGGGATTCAATTTCTTATAAACATTGATTTTCGGATACCAAAATGGAACTCCCTGTGAACGACATGCAACATGTAAAAGGACATACAAGATTTTCCTTGCAAATCCCGGCTACAATTGAAACGTGCATATTGGCCTTCACTGGAGTTCAGGAGTGCCCTCCAGTTGCCGTGCTAAGCTTCCAGAAATCAATTTCGCGATTTTTCAGTGAAGTAATGAAGAGATGGGAAGCAAGCTCCAGAATAAAGGAAAGGTTTCTGACAAACAATTAATCTTGGCTGTAGCAAGACTTCTCACTTCCAAACTAAGCATGAAGAAACATTCGTGAAAAAACGTGAAGAAGCCCATGAAACTAAATCCATTCTTCTGAAATTATACAAAGACAACATCAAGAAGAGTATCATCTTCCATAGAATGCTTTGTGCTTTCTACAGAACGGGTGTATATTTCGTGTGAAAATGTATCATTTGCTGAAACAAGCATGCTCATTTTTCATTTTGAGGAAACATATTTTCTGTCTGAGTTTCTTTTCGCAATTTTTGGGATGATGAAAAATGGTAATTTCGTACTTATTATCATTATTACATTTAATTACTTAATTATGATACTTCTTTTGCGTCGAAAAGTAGAGATTTTTAGTTCTGTGCAACTAGGTATTACTCTCAGGTGTTTTTCGTCCATAAATAAGATATCTGAGTTTTGAATAGAAAAATGCGTCTTTGTCCCACTGTGCAGTGTGGCGATATCTTGTCTGGCGTGGCCGATAGTACTAAAAGATGATGAACTTTTCAGGTTACCGGCAAACTGCCATAACGTCACAAAAGAGTGGGATCTATCCCCTTGGGAAGGTTCGTAGTGGTCGATACGGAACCAATTTACCAGAGGCAAGGATTCCTATGCAGACCAGGTTTCACACAGATTCCATTTATTCTTACCTACACTTCTACATATGCCACGCATACAAGAATTCTCATAGGATTCAGGTAATAAGGGAATTAGGCACAAGTCTCTCAGTACAACCTTACGAGTGCAATCCTTCCTCTCAAAGCATTTAGGTAAATTCTGAGAAAAAGGAACAAATGTCTCCTCACCCTCGATGCAGCACCACTCGCAGTTACCTCGTGATTAGGTGGCAATCACGGCTAAGCAACGAAATCAGAAGGGGCTGCTCAGGCTTCAACCGTCCGCACGCCCTCTTCCAATGTTCGTCTTTGCTAGTTCTAAGTGTGCCTCCCAGCTCCAACAGGCAAGGAACAGAATCTGGATCACACCAGATCCACCTAAGCCCAGCTCCAACCAGCACTTCGGCCCTCGGCTCCTACCGAGTAGAACTAGCAAGGTCTCAATTTAAGAAATGGGACCCTAGCTCAACACTTGATGATGGCAGTGGCGAAGTCAGGAACATAGTCTCTTCCTTTCCTCTTCCAAGAGGTTTTTTTGTGCTGGGTTTAAATAGGATTCCTTCCTTCGGTTTTCGTCAGTCATTATAGCATGTTGAACGCTCCATGGCTGGATGAATGATCACCATTTTCAGATGCTGAGCGGCTTTATGACTGGATAGAAAGTTACAAAAATACCGGCAGTCCCGTAAGGAAATAGAGGAAGGTCGGACCTTCCGTTCCGCTCGACGCATATCCTTGGAGTCCCATAGATCAGAAAGAGCCACTTCCTTCCCTCATGACCTTTACAATTCCCCTGAATCACAGTCGGGGCCGGCAGGAAAGGGGTGAGGAAGGGGAAGACGAATAACAATAATTTTTACTCTTCCTAGAACGTCCTCGAACGTCCGGGGAGATGAGGATGCCCTTTCACTGGGGCACTACAACAGTCTCCCGTCTGCTTCAACAACGACTCCATGAAGGCGCAAAAAAAAATCAGTTATTCCTTTAATTAAGTTTTTTCTCTCTGTTCTCCCATTATACAGCCCCAAAAAGTTGAAGGGTAACCTCCGCGTGACCTCAATGATAACCTGTAATTCCTCAACTAATTAAACTTCAGAGATGTACCCACCGCCGAAATGAAAACTTATGAAAAGTGAAGAACATACAGTACGCGTAAAAATTAACGTACCAGGGTTATCTCTTATTCAACGAGAGATGTAGGAAAACCTCCTATATCAGCAGAAAAACATACAGAGCCCTGATCTCAATACAGAGTATAATCGCCCTGCGCTTCGACTAGAGCACGTAATCGGCCCGGCATCGTTTCTGTCAATTTTTCGGTGAATTCTCCACTCAGATTCTCCCACTCCTCCTTAATTACTGCTCTTAAAGTATTGATCGTTCTGGGGCGCCGATGCACCACTTTGACTTTCAGAAGAGCCCACACATTCTCTATGGGGTTGAGGTCGGGAGACTGCAACGGCCAGTCCAAACGGAACACCCCATTCTCAACCCTCCGGTTGATCGCCTGCCTTGAGGTGTGCTTTGGATCATTGTCCTACAGCACCCAAGTGTTCATTGAATCGGGAACATGGAAAACAGCAGCTGCAGAAGGCAAGAGGGCACGCTCATAAATGGTCTTCAGCAGCTGCGCATCCAGGTTCTAGGTGAAGATTCAGATCTTCCCAATCCCTCCAGCATAGAGGCAGCCCCAAGCATGCACCTTACCCAGGTGTTTGACAGTCCGAGCGATCACTCCACCATCCCCTTCTCTCGATATATTTTAAGCCAACCGGCCTTCGCTGGCTTTGAGATCTCTTTGTACTTTGCGATGGCGCAAAAGAGAGCTTCGGACGCAAGGGACGAACGACATGAAATCAGTCTCGTAACGATTTTTAATCGAAAGTAGCATTTTTCCTCATGCCAATGAAAAACAGTTACGTAACTGGGATGCAACGAACTAGAGTCACCCATTTTTTTTAGGCGGATCAGCACTCATGAGCAGCTGTCCATTGCAAAACGTTTGAGCCCCGTAGGTTCCTTATCTTTCGAGTAAACCCTGGTATGTTAATTTTGAAGACCACTGTAATTAAAATTCGGGCCTAAATAAAGAAAATCTACTTTTTGCACAGCTTGTCGAATTTGAATAAAATTTCACAATTTCTTGAACCCCTGAACTAATATGGCAGTCATTTGATCATAACCCAATATAATTGCGAGAAGTTCTCAAGTAGGACCTTCCACATTAAATTATTACGTTTTTCAAACATTTTGATGAACATGAGAAATAGTTTTCTTAAGAACGAATTGAATGCATTCGATTTCGTTGCTCGAGAGCTTTCATTCGAGCTATGGCACATCTAACATGGCTTAAGCCTTAATTAATTTTAGAGAACCAGCCTTGAGAGTATGCACGGGTATCTTATAAAGTTTTGGACTCGTACCTTTGAATCTGATTGGACCGGAATGGAAAACTTTGCTGTATCTTCTGAACACCTCCGTCTTCAATTGTTTCCAGAAATATTTGAAAGACCGAGTCAGAAGAATTATGATGATTCGGCATGGAATGACCCGGGTGTGAACCGGATGTGTTCATGATAATGTAAAATATTGGATTGGCCGGAAAGTTCTTGCAGTTTGAGAAAATAATTTTATTCGTCAACTATACAATATCAGTCAACAATGTAAGCACCATTGTGTTCCACTACATGTCTCCACCTTCCAGCCAGGGAATGGATTCCGCCGTGGTAGAACGATGGTGACTGAGACTCAAAGAACTGTCGCAAGTAGCATTCGAGGTCTTTCTGGTCGTCGAACTTTTTCTCTTGGAGGCGGTTCTCCAGGGCGCAGAAAAGGTAGTAGTCCGACGGAGCAAGGTCCGGGGAGTACGGTGGGTGCGTCAGAATCTCCCATCCGAGGGCGAGGAGTTTGAGCCGGGTCATCTTTGCGGTATGCGGCCGGGCATCGTCGTGGAGGAATAGCACTTTGTCACGTCCCGGCCGAGCCGTTGAGAGTTTTTGGCTCAATCTCTCCAGTTGGTCGCAGTAGTAGGCCGCCGTGATGGTGGTGTTGGGAGGAAGCAGCTCGAACATAACGATACCTTTCACGTCCCACCATAAGGAGAGCATCACCTTGCGGGGGTGCAGGTCACCTTTCGGCTCCCACTGCGGCTCTTCATCGGCGTCTATCCACTGACGCTTGCGGGTATGGTTCGCGTACATCACCCACTTCTCATCCCCGTGTCGACGTCGTCGAGCCAGTCGAAGTGCTGTCGGCGGGAGAGAAGTGCACAGGTGTCGGAACGCTGGTCGAGGTCCTTCTGTGCCAAAGCATGGGGTATTCAACTCCCGAGCTTCGAAACCTTCCCGATCGTGGACAGACGGTGTTCGATGGTGGAGTGGGAGTGCCCGAGGACGGCAGTGGTCATGCGGGGATCGGCTTTCACGAGTTGTCGTAGCGCCTCATCATCCAACTCCGACGGGCTTCCCGATCTCGGCTTGTCTTTGACACTATAGTTTCCGGACTTGAAGCGAGCGAACCGATTGAAGCACGTCTTTTCGCTGATGACTCCTTCCCCAAACGCCTGCAAAGACGGCGATGGGCGTCGGCTGCCTTCTCTCCCAGACGGAACTCATAGAGGAGGCAGGTGCGGAGGTGGTCAGGGTCAAGGTCGAACTTCTGGCTCATCTTGGCGGTAAGGGATCGAAAACACTGAATCTGCACTCAAGAAGGGGAAAGGCGAAGCGGGAAAATTTTCGAAAATTCGTGAGGCTTCCTAATGAGAAAAGGCGAAAACTGCAAGAACTTTCCGGCCAACCTAATATTATATCCATCGCTTCCTAAACAATTTTACGCTACCTCCAATCTGTCACTTTCCATCCGTCGAAGTTACTTCTAATCATTTGGAGTGCATTCCGACATTTGGTGTCCTGTGCGCGTAATCTGTCAACTCAATTGTGATTTTTGAGTGGCAGGGAGAGGTCAAGTAATCTTAGGTTTGATAATGTTGAATAATTTGCTTGCCACTGTCTTAGATGGAGCCATCTCACTTTCTACTACTGCAAGTACTGAGCTACCTGAAGCCGAATGTACACCATGGGAGAATTTCCATGCCATTGGGTGCAATTGGAGTAAGAAGGAGATTTGCGCGAAGAAATGTGGCTCCTTCTCTCGTGTCTGCCCACCTGGTTTCGCCAGGATGAAACTGACTGCAACATGCGAGGGTAGGTCACCACCACATCCTTTTTCTCATCGACTCCTAATGCAGCTCTCGATTCCATGTGGTGGTTTCATTAAATCTCGTTCCTCATTTAGATAGTTTGCTGTCTAATTTGAGGATGCTTTTGTTGCCGCAGAAGTGGTGGTGCATTCCTCAAATTTCACCCTGGAAGGAACATTCGACCCGAAAGACTACAACACAGATGATCCGGACTGCGAAGAAGGCCAAAAGATCCAAGAAATGATTTCCTTTATAAAGGCGACTGTGAGTTCCTTGACATCCCTTAAATGCAGCCAGTTGATCTTTTCACATCTGATGGTATATCTAGCTCATTTTTATTGCATTTCAAATTACGGAAACAGATATGGCTCTGAGTCAGCCCCAAAATAAATGAGGTGAAGATTATGAGATTCCATCCTTGTGACATCATCAAGGGAAAGGCACCTGTGGACCAGACAAGAGAGAAATGGAATATCATGAGAGTGTTCCTTACTTATGCATGAGTGTCCATGAAGCGAGAGATTACAGAACCTCATTTTGCTTCAGCAAGCGGGCTGGTTATTAATTATACAGTGCTATTTCACCTGAGTCCATCAAACATTAAACAGTTTGATATCATCCTCATGGCATGCGCGGAACTTCTGTGCAAAAGTCGTGAGTCGTGGATGATCCACATTATTTTCACCTATAAATATTTTTATGGGCGTCATGAAGCCTCCAAGACTACATCTCGAAATGGGAATCCAGGAGTCCTTTCCTTGGTCATGACTCATGAGCTCGACAGGAGCCTAATATCTGAGACCGTAGTAACGATCCCACAAATGCTACTTGGCACTCAAGTGACAATACTTTTGATAGATGTAGCAAGTCAAATTTATTATCATTTGACTAGCTGTTACCCGTTAAATATTCACGTCCTCTAAAGTAGACTCTCCTACCTCCTTCCCATAGCATTAAAATGAAAAGCACCGCTAGAATTTTCAGCAGCCATGTTGCAAGTTTCTTTGTTTTTCGAATTGTTGGAAGTACGTCCCGTCATAACCGCCCCACACTCTGAATTTCACAATATACAAAATTACTGCGAGTTCCGTCCCGTAGCATTCAAATGGGGTGCACTGCTTGAATTTGAAGCACCCAAGTGCATGGGAAAGAAAATCGAGGCATACCTCTTGGCATCAGGAAGCCTTAGAACAGGGGGTTGCAACCTTTTTCGGCAGTGGCCGCATGGAAATGTCTGACTCTTCACGCTGACCGTGGAATGCAAAAGAAAAGGCTTCCCAATTCGCCCTCAGGGCATGTGAAGGCATAAGGTCGCGCTGATTGGCCGATAGCCCTTATCTCTTCCCCCTAGGAAGTTCCAACGCCTAAAATTAGCTTCTGGCATCGAGAACCTCCTTCTTCCGGACATATGTAGCACAGCCCGCGTAAGGAATAATTAGGGGAAGGAAGTGAAAGGACTCAGTCTATTTCTAGTTAATACCCAAGTGGCACAATAGTAGTGGGCCATGAGCGGCCCAGACACTGTACTGGCGGATTTCTGCCCGAGGGGGGGTCGCTACATAGTGGTAAATAGGATATGCAGCAGCTGGCCTTCTACTGTTACTCATGAGACACGCCCGGGCGGGGATTTGAGGCGGGAACAGAAAAAAATCCAAGTAATGAGAAATATTTTAGGTGAACTTTATCCCTTTCTCTCGAAATTCCTAATTTTTTATTATAATATTTTGGTGAACCTACATCCACGGGATGTAACTGCGGAATGTAGCGAAGTATCTGTGCCCAAGTTTTGCAGCTGAAAACACTACGATGCGATCGGCTTGGCTGTTTGGAACAGGTGATAAGAGCAGCGGAAAAGGCAGACTTGGGAGACGAGTACATGGACATGGACATCAGGGGAATCAACACTTTTCCCATCTCGTCTTACCGAAAAGGAGCTCTCAAAAACCAACTGAAAATCGTGGGTTTCATGCAGTTCCCCGCCCAGAAATACAACGGGACTCAAGCACATGACTTGCTGGCCATTCTAAACGATTCGAAAAAATGGAAAGAAATCCTGACAGAGTTTGAGAGTTCTGGAACGATTCCGAGCGACCTTGACCTAGATGCTGTTATCAGCACGGATATCAACTATGGTATGTCCAGCTAATATTGTGAAATCCATCAACGAATTTTAACAAAGTAGCGGCAAAACTCGGTGAGTATGATGCCTGAAGTAGTTGAATCTGTGGCTAAAATAACGAGATTTTATCACGGCACACATTCTTTTTTCATCCCTTTTTTATTTTGCTATCACTGAGCATGAATGGAGTGAGAAGTGTCTGAATCATAGTGAGAAGAATCATAGTCTGCAGCTGTATCATGCTCCCCAGCTGTGGCCACCTCGAAGACACCCCTGAACCATTTCTGTTGTTTGTACTTGGCAGGTTCTTCGTCTTGTCTTGCTTTCGAAAGCCAGTCTGACAGCTGGACATCATATCACCATTTCACATAAAATTTGTAAAATGAAATTCATTCCGACCTTGTGACCCTTGGGTCACAAAATTTCCGATATTTTATTAGACTCACGCTGTGTTTGTAGCAGGGGCGGATACATACATTTTTCATGGGGGGGGCGGTTCCTAAGTTCCTATCTACCTACCCCCCCCCCTCCCCCCGCCTACCACCATTCCTTGTCCTCTTGCCTTTTTTATTTTTCGTCTGGGGGAAGAACTTGAGTATCTATTTCATTGCCTCCAATAAAATTTAATGCATATGCTATTTTGAACAAATAAATAAAATGCTAACCTGGTCATAGGGGGGGCGGTCGCGATGTAAGAAGTCCTCAGTGACGCATGCTCACTAAGTGATACGCTCATCAACTCAAATAAGTGGCACGGTGTCTTGGCTCTCAATCCCTAAGGAGCTTTTCCTTTGTTAAGACAGTTTTAAATCTTGCTAGCGGTACAATAACTATAAAAATTTATTGAGCACACATTTTTATTTATCACAGCACAAAGTGTGTATCACAGCACGCTATTTTAGTCACTGAGTTGAATTATGATAATGCTTTGCGCAGAGCCAGAAAGGATCCCCTGCGCAAAAGAAACGTGCTCGTCGTACGCGACCTGCATAGAACATTTGAATGGGAAGCCTCCGACGTGCGAATGCCAAGAGCGATTCCGAGGTCTCAGCCCAGACATCATCGGCAAGTTTCTGGAAAAAGGTATTTCTTCAATCAAAAGTTGTAGGAGATATCTAAAGTCAAGCATAACTTATATTTATTCCTGTTCAATGAAGTGTCACTGTGCTATGCAAATGTCAATAAATGTAGTGGACATGTAGGCACTTTATTCTACATTTCTAATAAGAGAATGCAGAAATGTACAAATGGAAATCTACATTTAGCCGAAGAATGCACGGAGGAGTACTGCTCCAATCGAGGAAAGTGTGTTATGGACTCGACTAGAACGCCAACTTGCGAGTATATTGCACAAAATTTTCTCTTTTAGCTAAATCGAAGAAGGTCTTCATTGATTCAATTTTGTGAATGCTTGGCAGATGTAACCCGACGGTTATTGGTGGGCGATGTGAAACTCCTCTCGGGCGTGAGTCCCCAATCTGTACACCCCATACTACCTGGAGACTGCATAAGTGCCTATTAATGCATGTTTCTTTGTCCTGAACATTTTAGTCATATTGGGGTTGGTGTTCGGTCTCCTTGTGCTTATCAGCTGCGTCTTCCTCGTCGTTTTCAGCACCCGTAGACAAATTGCTCGGAAGAGGGAGAAGTATGCCATGTACGCATTAACTGTTCTCGATTGAGCTGCAGTCTATCTATACATTACCTCGAAACCATTTGCATCCAATATCGCCATCTCTAACCCTTCACTGCATCATGTTCCCAATATAGAACACACCGGGATATAAAATGGCTGAAGGCTGAATCTTTATATATGACAGAAGAATCACTGTGTGGCGGACGGGGAGTTTCTGAAACATGCTTGATGTTCCCGAAAAGGAAGAACATAAATAATTTTAAAATATCTAATTATTTGTTACCAACTGGGAGTATATTGAAAACATTGTGTCACTGTCATAGCTGAGTAAAAGACCTTTTACCTTATTTCGTCACAAACTTCTTAAGTTTTTATTTATTGTATTTGATGTTTCAAAAAAATGTGTAATGCAAATAATGTCTCATATCTTCGTCTCACATCTTTATCTGACCTTTAAAAAATTCTAACTGCTGCGGTTTCTCCCTTTATGCAAATTTCGTCCATTTTGGCAAAACCCTGAATTGCCATTAAAAAAAAGACCGAATTTTGGCAGTTTCGTACAAACTTATTTTCGTACCTCTCAGTAAATGTATACGAAATTTGAATGTTTTCCTTCAAGGCTTTCATGTATCATGCAATCAAAGGTTAAAGAACTGCAGTATACAGTATAGTCAGTTAGATGCCTACAAATCGGTTGACTCTGATGGATTGTGTGATTTTACTGAAGGAAGGAGAATGCGAAGAAGACCTGGAATGATCCGTATCGGAGGGAGACGGACAATCCTGCATACGAGAGGGGAGGAATCCCACGCATTCACCCCAGTAACCCTCGACCTCCTCAATTCTATTTTTCCCCTGAAAGGCCTCAGGCAATGTACAGCAATCCTGTTCGGCAGGAGCGTCCCCTATATCTGATGGGAACTCGTCCATCCGTGAGTCCTCTCCCTGCGATGATATTGTCTATTTAGGATTCATCATCCAAAATTTTCCGAGCAGCTAGGTCATACAAAAAATCACAAATCCCCAGGCGCTGATATTTCAGGTAGATTATCCAGGATGCCGAAACATTTCATCCTGCAACTTTAAATCACTTGAAATTATTCAGCACGTGAGCATTCTTAAGCATATTACGAGAGTCACTCAATAACTTTTGAGCTTCGTCATTTTTTGTGTCGATGGTTTTTTTGACGTTGGATGTTAGGCCTTAAAGACTTCTGAGATAAATCCTAAAAAACGATTGCTCGCTGGTCAAAGGTCCAATCGCATCTATTGACATCATCGGTGTCATAAATAGAACTTGACTTGCATAATAATAATATTCATGATTTTGACCCTATCGATGGACTACGTCAACATTCACAAGCCATAAACTAATTCTACATTATGATGTATACCACTCACAAACGTTTAGCAAATCTGTGACTTTCCGGAATGAAAATAAATATTAACAAACTTTGAAAATACGAACTCTTGCATATCATGAGGGAATGGTTGCAGAATCAAAATTTACCGCAACAAAGTATTGCCAGTTTGGCATTACACGGCAACTGCAGGTCAAAGACGAGGAAAAGAAAACTGAAGTTCACCGAGAAAATTGTCCGAACTATTAAGCCAGCCTTCAGTGACGCATATGACAACGCATTACTCTTAGATATGCTCGTCAGCAGTTTCTCATTCTACTGGCGATCCTCTGGATCTGCCCCTGGGGGATGTTGCTCATTTCCACCGCAGAGGAGCTTGATGTTGTTGAAGTCAGTGGAGGTTGTGGTCGATGGTTGAAATGGTTGCCCAGCCGGTCCCAACCATGCTCGAGGGACGCCAAGTCCGGTGAATTGGTTGGTCAGCCCACTCTGTTGACTTGAATCGGCAGCAGGAATTAGTTGACCACGTGCGCCCGAAGAGGTCTGGTATCATGTTGGAGGCTGGCCCAGTGTCGCATGTTTCGCAAGTAAGGCAGAACAACATGTAGCAGGATTTCATTTCTGAAACATCGCTTTGTCAGATTTCCATTCCCAATCTGCAGAGGAAATTTACCGATGACATTGTGAGGAGGTGTGGCCTCCACCAAATTGATAAAGTTCTTGAACAGCAGTATTTGCAAACGACACTCACAGGCTTCTGTACGCGTCACATGCCATCATTAGAGCATAGAGAAAAACAAGATTCATCCGTGAGCAGCGCGGAATGCCATCGCTCTTGATTCCATCGAATGAGGGTTCTGCGCCACTCATAGCGACGTCTAAGGTGAACTTGTGTACGAGGGCACCCTCATGGCTAAATTGCGAACTAGGATACCTGTCGCTTGGAGATGGTTTCTGACTACTGTTTGACCCCATAGTAGCTATGACCAAGACGTGGCGATCCTGGTCCTGTCCTTCAGAATTGCAACCTCCTGGAACCAGTCTTGATTGGGTTTGGTGGTTGTAGGGTGTCCAGATCATCAGTGGTCTCATAGAATGCTTATTGACGTAAATCTCGCCATTAATCTGGATATGGTGTTCTTTCATACACCGAAATTCCTGGTAACTTCTGCGTTTGAAAATCCAGCCTCCACCATGCCAACAGCCCTTGATTGTTGTTGTTCGCTCAGTGATCTTGCTTTACCCATCTTTGTTGGAGAAGTGACTACCAATCTACGCAAAGCCTTCTTTTATGAGAAACAAGCTGGGTTACCCGGCGTTGCCCGGGATATTTTTTAGGAGTAATATAGCTGTTGTTCTTTTATGTGCTTTTTTATTAGTGCTTATTTGTCTAAGTCCGGCCAGACCGACGGGGACGGAAGCACTGCTCTGGCCATTTTATTTTTGTTTTTTTCTTATTTTTTTAAAAGTTGTTCTAAATTAATTCTTAACTCAAAGGGATCTCGGGGTCCCAAAAAGGGTGTTCCAGACCAGCTAGATTTCTCAAGCATTGCAGTGAATGATTGAGACACTTTAGAATTTAGATCCCCCCTGACCCCGACCCCCCCTATGACCTGCTACTGGACAGATCCCACCCTCCTGCGAAGGTTTCAGGTCGATATCTCCAACGGTGTCCGAATGCATAGCGTCAGATGGACAGAGACAGACAGAGATCCTTGCTTATAGAGATAGATTGATGAGTGTGCATGTTGTGAACCTCGAAGTTCATGATGAAATTGAAAATTTTCAGCTGCGATGAAACTGTTTTGATTGGTAGGGGTGTAAAGGTAGCTATCAATTCAGCATCTTTTAACCTGTCGGAAGCATTCATAAAAAGCAAAACATTCCTCAAAACTTTTATATTTAACTCTATATTGATATTTAAAAAAATTACCACATTATTGGCAACCCCAAAAAGTATTTAGGAATGTGTTTAATTGAAGCTCAAGACACTTTTAATACTTCCACTCATAAACATCGAGGGTTGCAAAAGTTTTCGTGAGTAGTATATTTGTCAGAATTTGTTTGAAGGGAATCTGTTGAAATCCTCTTTGTGCTACCAAGGAAACACCCATTATTTTGGTGCGATAAAGCTGCAATAACTTCAAGGTAATTCCAATGAAGAAATCAGAACTGGAATGATTTGTGGGCACAAGGGGCTCCTTCGTAAGTCGCAATAGAACGATGGGTTGCTGAGATGCAGTCTGGGCACTAATGTCATGGAGTATAACACAGTTGTGATGGTGATATCAGACAAGATGGTCAGACAGAAGAAGAATAACCACAACTGAAAAAGCACAGGTCTGAAGGCCAAGGCCGGCCTTAGGCATGTGCCATGTGTGCCCCCGCACAGGTCCCCAAAACGTGACTAAATATGTTTTGGCGTCAATTTGAACGCTAGGGATAAATTACTCTTCTCCATTCTGGGGGGGGATATGAAAAATCTCGCCGGTCCTAGATACAAAAATGAAAAAAATGAGCATCATATTTGCATGCATGACAATATTGTGGGGGGGGGGGGGGGGGGGGGGGGGGAGGGGCATCGGGAGTCTCTTTGCACAGGGCGCCGAAATAGCTAGGGCCGGCCCTGCTGAAGGCAGTTTGACCCCTTCTATTTCGTAGAGCAAAATAACCGATTTTGGAGACCATCTTGTTCAAAGTCACCATTACAATGGTGTTCTGAGACATCATTCACTTCAAGAGACTAGAGTCCATGCTGTAATTCGCCACCCATCTTTATATTGTGGTATGCGAAGAAGGGTACCGTTATCGTAAACAATGGTAATCTAAAGATTATATTTCCTTATTTGCCTTGCAGGAAAAGCAGCTTCATCGCTCCCTGGCGCTGAATGTGTTTAATACTGGATGACCAACTTCAACACCTGAAAATAAAAGCACGATTTTACCAGAAAATTGGCGACAGGGCGATAGCATTTGAAAAAGTATATCAATAATGGTAATGTATAACATACGTCACTTAGGTTATTGACACATCGACATATGGCAAGGTTTAAAGCTTATTGAGTGACCCTCCTACCTTTAAAACGTCTTTTTAAAATCTAATGTATTCTTCATGCCTAGCTTTTAATGGCATCGATTAAGAAAACAAATCTCATTTAAATTATCCAATATTTCTCTCTCTAAATGTCAAGAAAGAAAGAATAATATACTAGATGGAACGACGTTAAGCCCGCCGCAGGTAATTTTTGTTGCTCCACCGTCGCGCGACCGTCGCAGATGAGACCCCGCACACAGAGCAATATCATGTGGAGCGACGGTGGAGCAACAAAATTGCCTCGTGTGCGGCGGGCTTTATGATAGCATCGTCGGATATCGTCATATTTCGTATCGGCACCCCGAACTTCATTTTTAGCTTTTTCCACCTCAAGGATACAGGTATTGAGAAAGAAATTCGCTTCCCAACCAGTATAAGAGGGACGTTTGAAAGCCTATTAATATTCAGTAGAACTCGGTTATAACGTCATCGAAGGGACCAGGGATAAATCGTCGTTATAACCGAGGTTGCCTTTATTGACATTCCATTTTCCTATTTTCAAAATAGATGATATATAACGTTACAACTCCAGTGTGCATCGGTAATGCCTCACTTGCTTCAGTTTCAGGATTGACTCACTAATTTTAATGTTCGCACTTCTTTGAACCTTAAACTACATTATATTTTAGCAAGGTCTCGTCGACGTCATCTCGACAGATCTACGAAGTTTCTTGTTTTGTGACATGTTCTCGTAAGTACAGATGAAACTCACGATTTTCCAAAATTGTGGAAACAGATGTTTTTCGAGGGGGACTTCGTCTTTACTTCGAGCACTTTCTAATATATTAATCATGCACACTTAACTTTCAATAGTGAAGGTTTGCTTCTTTCGCTTTCCACTGGCCATGTTGTCAACGAGAAATGTAATGGCGACTGAAGATTAGATTATCTTGTTAGTTACTGGAGATTATCCCTCCCTCACCCTCCTCCAGTCACATCCATGATTCTCAAGGAATGCTGATTCCAGGAAAGATAACATTATGTCTTGCCAACGCTCATTTTTCCTATGGTGGGAATTCCAGTAAAGAATGACGGACCAGGGACATCAACGTTGTCAATTTCGTCAGAGGGAACTTGAATGGACTTCGCTATAACCGAGCTTCTCGCTATAACCGAGGTAAAATGAAACGTGCCTTATGCAATCTACGCCGGGACCTGGCGCTTTTCGTCGTTATAACCGAGTTCGACTGTATTTAATAATGAGAATAACTTTACTCAGTATATCGATCGAGTTCAATCTGCTTGGCAGTCCTAATCTGTATCCTAGGTAGATTCACGATGAAATCAGATACCTCATAATAAGATAAGATTTTTGCCGCAAGTGGAAATAACGAATTACATATCCTAATATTGTCATGCATGCAAATATGATGCTCATTTTTTTCATTTTTGTATCTAGGACCGGCGAGATTTTTCATATCCTCCCCCAGAGGCCATGTACTCTTCCAGCAGAAGACACTTAGAGCCGCCAATTCAATTCTATCCCATTCCAAAAAGATACTGAACGGTTTGAGACATGCATGAAGAGAAGGAAAATCGCACGAATCCCTGAGCACCTTTTGAAGCGCTCCTATCTCCAGTTCACTTCCATCATACGAGGCTATCATGGCTTTTAGAAGACTTTAACTTAGAGTTTCCATATTTGACGTCGAATGTACTTAGTGTGAGTTTTGATATGGTGGCATTTCATTGTGAGGGCGGGAGCTTCATCCCTGATACAGCGATTGCTTTATCTGTAGTCTTACGGTAGGCTGTAAATGTGCTCTGTTCCTGTTGTAGCAGGAAGAGGAATAAAACGACACAGAGAATAAATGAAATGTGAGACATGAAACCGTCTTGTGGCACTGGATCTGTGCAGGCTAACTACAGGTAGCTTTCTTTTTCTGACCTCCACATATATTTCCTTCCCTTTTTCTTTCGAACGAAACGTTAAATTTAACCTAAATGTGTGTTAAGGGTTAGCATTTTAGCATTCGCAAGTCAGCATTAACGCTCATTCGAAAAGGACCCTGAAAATTAATGGTGATCACATTTGCAAATCGGGTGCTGGCTATTACAGATAAAAATTTCAATGATGAATCAAATGCTGGTGATCCCAAACAGTAACAGTGCTAGTTCCGCTTTAAGACCTTGGAAACAAGTGACCTTGACTGCGCAACAGCACCTGGAAGCGATTGGAAATTTTGTCGAAGGAGATATTTAAATATGTCCACTTTCCTTGTGGGAGGTATGGTCCTTTTAATAATTTCGAATTAAATTCACGCAAGCCCTTATCATCGAAGGGGGAAATAATTGAATTCAGGAGACAATAAAATAAATACCATTGGTTGCTCAAAAGTGTAATAAGGTATAATCAATGATACTATACAGTATTATATATATATATGCAATTGCTCTCGAATTGGAAAGTATGCATGGATGGTTTCAGAATGTCTTGACGGTTCCCCGTATTCATATTACAATTTCAAAGTAAATGAAAGATGCCATGGAAGTGCAGTTACAATTCAATGGGAATGGAAGGCATCAGCCATGAAATAGCAAAGTGTTTCAAATAATGTTTCGGCTGTTGAATCATGAAAGTAAAACTGGTACCGTGTCTGTGAATCAAAATTTCGCACAATCAATCATAATATAAGATTAAGATATAAGATAAGTTTGATCGACATTATCATAATATAAGATAATGTCGATCAAACTTGATGAAGATCATAGTCAATATTGTTCTGACCAGGAATAAAAATTCACTCGGGAATACCATTGTATTTGTAAGTGCATGTAATCTCAAGTGCAAATGAGATACTCAATCCTCTTACAGTTTTTCCTAATTGCTTACGTCCGTTTTCAAAACTATTTGAACAAATCCCAAAACCCTGGAAACTTTTCACAAAACTTAACAGCCGATTTCATTGCTAACGTACGAAAAGCGAAACACGAAATGCGTAAAAGTATAGAAATGCATGGAAAAAGCTTTGGATTGCATGCCTTTTCCCATTCTTCTGGCTAAGCTGCTCACGCCTGCTACCTACGTACCGACTGCTGCCGTTAGAGATAGGAGGCTTTAAGGAAGCAACCAATCCATCGTCCATAGTTGTCAGAGCTGAATGCTCCCTCTCAAACGTTGAAACAGTTTCTTACGTCGATACAGCAATGTAATTGGCAGACAATAATCCTGACTGTTATTCAGAAAAATCCAGAATACCTGATCCTGAGTATTTACTTACGATTAATTTCTGTTACAACATAATCAGCTAAAAAGGGTCGGAAAGAGAGAAAAGAGAAGGTCAAAAATACCAGAAAAAACAAACAGTATTCAATGTTTTAACAATCCCGGAACCCTGGGTAAAAACAAGCATCTATACACAAGCGACCCTTTTAGAGTACAATACTAGAGGTGTAGAAAGGTTGAATACGTCGCTCTATTGGCTCCTTGAAGAGTTTTCGACCGGATACAACGCCCTGCACCCTTTTGAATGACGGCACAAGTCAAGTGACTTCTCAAAATAACAGTCTGACCTTATTAGGGTGTGGGGAGATAGTAATGGGCTCGACCGGCAGAAACCGTGATATGTTGTGGAGCAGAAATTTACAATTTCCCGTTCAACGAAAGCGAGAGGGGAAGAATGGGAAGGGGGGGGGAGGAGTTTTTGTGCTTTCAAGCGGCACCTCGTCTATATATCTCACGCGAAATAATCTTAATGGGCGGTTTGATGATTTTTACAGGAAGAAATCTATGCTGGTTTGATCCCGGTTGATCACCGTTGAAACACCCGCCGTATACGCATCCACCCAACAATCGAGCCTAGATTGTATAAATTGTCAGAGTAGAAGTTGAGGAGAAGAAGATAAGTCCTCATCGTATGATCCGCAAAATATTTTATGAACAACAAATATCACGGAGAAACGACGTCAGTGTATTGGCACGAGCACATCATCGGCCAGATATGGCGCCATCTATTATATTTCAAATCGTCATACGGCATACGTGCCATACGTCCTTCACCGAAACATATTTTCCAATAGAACACATTGCTGGTGTCCTTTAGAACGAATTTTAAGGCACTCGCGTCAAAACTTAACGTCCTTGCCTTAAAAAGTAACGTACGCTCCATTGTTTGACATTGGGGAGGTTCTGGTCGATTCGACCTGGTAAGGCTGACAAGGCGGACATCGATCCAAGAGACTCTTCGCTTTCCCATGAACAGTAATGGATCGTCCAGAGGGTTTTGCCGAAGGTGTCTTAAGTTTTGACTACAGGTACGTTAGAAATTGATCGCAGGACGTTCTGTTTCGACTTTCGGGGGGCGGAAATCGAATCTCGACAACAGTTCGTACGGTTTTGGCATGGGTACGTTAAGTTTTGAAAGTCATGATTCATCGAGAAATCGCAGATACGTATATCATACGTATACATCGTGCATTACCCTAGCCTGGCCTATAGTTGCGAGAAGCTCTCATAGTTTTTTCGATCCCGTACGTCCAACACGGAGTCTCGATGGTGAAATTGAAGCGGATCGTGAATATACTTGTAATATTTAGCTCGAAAAAAAAAGAGAAACCCATGTCTGGACTCCAGAGGTTTACGTGACCCTACAAAAAGAAGTTTCTTCGATGTGAAACCTAATAATTTTTACCTATCATTATAAATTGCGTCTATTGGGGCTTACAATTCGTTATAGTCGATTTCTTTTCATTTCCATATTCGAAGCAGTGACATACACGTGTATATTATATCCTCGTGGTTCAGGAGAGTTGGAGTTTTCCCCACAGTCGCACACGATCGTCTTTTCATTTTCTTTCTGTATGATACATACACG